CCGCAGACAGCGTCAGGAGCGGTGGAAGCGTGCAGCCGTAAAATTTGTAATTGCCCGAATCAGTACCACTGGGCCAACTGGGTGTGATGACTGCTGTTTATAGGACGACTCGGACAAGAATGATTCTCTGATCAGGAGAGAACAACAAGGGCTCGTACTCATTGATGTGCTGGCGTGAGACCACTGATGACATCAGGACTGAAAGGTCCAGGTGGTTGGGGTGAGTTGTGGAATGGTTGCTCTACTGAAACTTGTCACAAAAGTCGCGGAATTGCTAAATCCCACCAACATAGTTTCTCAAACGCAGGTAAGAAGTTCAACGTCTTAAACCTGCATCAAGCTGCTTCTGTTGGCAGAGAGACAGAGAGAGTGCAAAGCTGAGAAGTTTGCAGAAAAGAGCATTTCCCCAAGGAAAACGCGCGGAAAGCGGCCAGGACCTTCCCCTACCGTGGACTCAAGGGCAGCATGGCTCCTCCAGCCTTTGCACGCTCCCTCATGATGCCAGAGATGCGGAAAGCCGGGCTCATCTTCTCCAGCTGATTGGAGGACATGCCTATGAATGATATGTATAAACATTTACATGGTTATTACTGTATGTAGTTGAAGTTGAAGGACATATTGAAATATGTCCAACGATGTACTATGTCATTACCACTATATATTCCTAGAAGAATAACTAGGATGAACATCAAATTGGACTCCGGACATAGTAGCTACAAAGGCGGCATTGACGTCATTTTCGCTTTACCTGCAGCACAGGAAGCACGGCTGCTGCCCTGGGGACACCGAAACAAAGAATGAGCTGGGCTGTGCAAAGAAAGCCGCGTAGTGCTGGCGTTGATTTTTTCTGGAGTACTTTGGGAAGGCAGAGCAACACTTGAAATCTTGGAACAAATCGTCGGCAAAGTATGTGTGACTTGATTCCCAAAGAGACTCCGACTTCAATGTAGCCTCCATGGCTCAGGGCCACTTTAGGTTACTCGGGGTTGCATCGGATATTTGCATAGTGAACAATGTTCGTCCTCAAACTCTTATTCGATGTGGGACTTCATTGTAAATTGCTGGAGCTTGAAAGAGGCAAGCCTCCCCCTGGTGGACCCGTGTGTGGCCACTCAGCAGAAAGCGGTGCGACAGCGACAACAAGTCTGATTGTTCCGAATCATAGACTAGCTGATTAGCCACCCGGCTACCAGCATTCAATCCACTACTTCAAGTACAAACACTGCTGGTCTGGTCAACCATAGAGACGCTATGCAATTTTAACTGCGGCTATCCCACAACCTGGACACTTTTGTGAGTCGGTGAGTCGGGCCTGAATGAGACTTTTGTGCAAAAGTATGCTAAGGGAACTCACATTGCAGTGATCTACTATGTCTGTTTCTTTCATCTTTCGTCAACATAAGGCCACACGAGTTTGTGACGCCCAAGTATGCCGGACCGACCGTCCGACGTCTGGCCCCACGCCTTCGCTGACTCGGTCAACCCCTGAAAGGGGCCGACTGAACGAGTCCCGCGGCGGAGCGAGACCACCGGTGGTCCTGGTGGTGGCGGAACGTGTGTCCCGGGCGGAACGTGGCTAGCCCAGGCTGCCTACGACTTGTTGCTGGAAGTGGTGAGGCTCAACAGCAGAGCGGTTCTGCCTGTTGGCTCACAACCTCCAGCAAGTCCTCATGAAGCATATGGCTTGGCACCATTCTTAATAGAATGCCTTTTTCCCCTGGCTTGTCCGGCCAGCACGGCGAGTGAGATTCCCATTCATCATCTGAATAGCAGAGCCTTCAAGCTTGGAAGCCTGAGACAATGCAAATCTCTCTCATTCAGCTGGACTGCACAGGCCGAGAGAGAAGCAGATTAAATTACAGCCTTGCCAAGAAAAAGTGCGCTTGGCATGTTCGGGTCTGGCATTTCGGGTCTTTGGTCCCAACATGTCCTGCTTCCAACACGTCCTGTTTGTGAAGGCGCAGATGGACGCCGTGCACGATGTGCTGGACACGAAAGTGAATGAAAAGCCCTTCGAGGAGGGCAGAGAGCCGGACAAGCCTTTTGCCAAACGCTTCCAAGAGGTGGCTAGCGCCATTTACGAAGACCCCACACGAATAGATCCAAATAGGCCAGCAGATCGATACTATCTGCCACTTGTGGTGGGACTATGTTGAGCGATGCTCACCAATGTCTCTTCTTGTTTGCAGGACTTGAAGCATTGTACGGCATCCCTAACTCGTGGTGTGGTGAAGTTCGCTCAGGCCGAGCGGCCTTCTATGTACCATGAAAGTCATACACTGCTGCAGTTTCTCCAGTTGGCAATCATACCTGGCTGGGCAAACGTTTGTAAACATTTATACAGTGCCGTCATTTTGCTGGTCCATGTAATGATGTGACAGCCCGAGTATGTATATAGTTTATCAAAGCACTTTACAGATTATGTACCTCTTTTTTGGCTGGAGTCTACTCCATGGCGCTCTCAGGTGGTTGGCGTGTTCCCTGGACCGAAATTTGACGATGCAGAGGCTGGGCTGACTTCCGGAGAATACCGCAGACTTCCGGGCTCTTGGGCTGCCTGTTCCACATCTTTTGAGAATCAGTTCCACTCTGATGGTCCTTGACAGTCAGAGTCGCCAACTGGCCGAAAAACGCCGTGCGCGCACGCCACGACCGCGCGGCGGTTGTCCTCGGTCAGGGGGCAGACCAAGGAGAGGCTGACGTGGAGCTGCTGGGCTGGGAGGAGCCCCGAACAGGGCGCTGAAGCATCGTATCGAGCAGGAACATCGAATTGGATGGAATACACATGTGCTTCCGACTGAACACTTGGTGCTTCGAGTGTCATTCTGTATGATCCGAAGGGATTCGCAAAGTCTAGTTTCAGATGTTCTGTTTCAAGCAGTAGCTGTGTTCAGTTAGCGAATGGGTTTGCTCTTTTCCTTTTTGGTCTTTGCTGTTATTTATGCTAGGAGTGCGCCGAGAACCTTTCCTTCCGCGTGGACAAGGCATGGCGCCAACGCTGCTCCCAACGTTTCAGGAACGTGCTGGCTGCTTGGAAGCAACGTGCGCTCCAGGTGTGGAACGGTTGAGCAAAGCTAAATATTGAGCAAATTCAGCATGTATTTGTACAGTCTTTGTGCTTTACGTGCAATCTATCAAGTCTCTGCTAGGCAGATTAGGTCTCCACAAAGCCTTCCTGTCGATGTAAACCTTACGACGCTATATGAAACTTGATAACAACCATTTGGTTGAGTGACTCTTGCACAGCTGAGGACATGATTGCCAAGAAGGCCAGACATGAATCGACTCATTCGTGCATGTTGAGTGGAGGCATTTCCACACCCAACAGGTGTTCCAAAGTTACTTGTTCTTGAACAGTAGTCAGTTGGCTACTTTTCACCAGAGTCAGTTGAATTTGCTGCAAAGTTCGTTGCTTTCATCCACTACTGATGCAGGCAGATCACAGTGTCCTTCGTCTCTTGCAGATTTCACAGCAGCACATCGAGTGAGAAACTTATTGCTCTTTTTGCTGCTCAGAATGCTGCACTTGATCAGATCTTGCATTCAGAGCTTGGGAGAGTGACAATAGACCGTTTACAACGTGTATATACATCTCATGAGATTGTCGTTGCATATAGTGCATATTGATATACTGCAGATACTGTGCAGATACAATCGTGCACTTTCAACACCTTCCAAAAATTGGTGCGAACACTGTCAGGTCTCAGTTGGAGCGTGTGAAGCACGAGCGTGAACTCTGGAAGGAGGTGGTCGAACGCCGTCAGCAGCAACCACTTCAGTGTCTTGGACTGCAACACGTCGTCGATGTAAAGCGACCTGATTCATTTGGCGTCTCAGAACGCTGGTGTCATTGATCCAAAAAGCTGACTCAGTGCTTGGCGTCACTTCCGCTGCATGGCTCTCAAGTTTCTTTGGTTTGTTCTTCTTGCTCAAGTTGCTCTTGCACCTTGCCAAATAGTTACATAATCAGATGGAGCTCGTGAGCTGAACGTAGCCAAGGCTTGCACTATCGATGAAAGAGCAGACCGCAGGCCCCTCCCAGCATCTAAGCTGCAAGAATCAAAGGGTAGTGAGCATGATGCCAGGATAGCACACTGACATGAGCAACGTGAGCATTGCAAAGATACAGATGTGTGCTGCACTTCCTGCAGACATGAGGTGAAGGAGGGCAGAGAGAGTTGTGCCCTTTTCGTGATTCCCTGGATGGCTTTCTGGCAGTTCATCATTTTAGAAATTGCTTGTATTGATGAGGCGCCAGTGTTCGCCTGAACACTTTTTTGGAATGTCAAGTGCCAGATAGCCGCTCATAAGGGCTTAGGAGGCTTAGGAGATATGCACGCGGTGCCATGTGCTGAAAAAATTGGCACATGGTGCTAATGTATTTACCAATGCCACTGGCTACATAATCTCCCTCTACACCTTCCACGGCAAGCTTTGGCAAAAGGATCGATGTCCTTGGACCATTTGCAACGCTTCGCGTTGGCTTTACCACTCCCATCTTTGCTTTGGACTGTCGTAGCAGGGAGCAATGAACGTTCTGCTGGCGAAACTTGCCAGTCTCGGAGCCATGTTTCAGCCCCTTTGCTCGGTAATTCACTTCTCACTTCGCGCTGTGTGAGTGTACGAGATGCAGGAATAGCAAGCTCGCTCTACAGTGTGGCATCATGCAGACCAGTTGCTTTTTGGTGTACCTTCATTAGCCAGAGCAACTGGCAGACTGACCATCCATCCACATAGCAACGAACTGCAGCCGAACGGTGGAAAGCCGAACTCACAGATGCACGTGCTGATCGGAACTCCGAAGTAAAAAGAGCACGTCTCGGTGCTATACAGCTGCAGCCACTGGTCCGAACGGACTCAAAGCGCTGTGGACAAAGCGCATGGGCCCACTTGATGAATCGTATGAACTGATGAGCTTTCCTGCGTCCACTTGGAGCAGGTTCGATATCCGTGTTTTTTGTCCAGATAAAGTGCGACAGCATTTCTCAGCGACAGCTTAGGATCCTGCATATCCACATGCTGTGCGAGACTTTGCAGCTGGGCATGTGAATGAGTGTTTGCAGTTCTGAAGGTTGGACTTGTCTCCCAAGATTGTTTTGTGGCATGTAGGAGTGAAAGCAAATCCTTGTGTACGTCGTTTTATTCTGAGGTTGTGTCAGAGAAGTCTGTGGGTCCTACTTCCCGACTTTCTCTTCAAACGTTCATGCAGGCATGGGCCATGAGACCATCAAGAATAAAAATCATTGGCAGAGCTTGTCCATAATCTGACAGAGCGGATGATGCCGACATGCGGGCTTGTAACCAGTGGGGATGGGTCAAAACCTGAAAACCTGGAGCCCCAACACCATGTAGCTTGACCCTCCAGGCAGGTCAACCAAGTTATCCTGGTTTTTACCCACAGCCAAGTGTTGGAGAACTTTGGATGGATCGAAGATTCTGCATATTGGATTTGCGCGCAGGTTTCAGGCTCACTCGAAGGACTGAATAGCTTGGGGGCCATGTATGGCCATTTGCTGCTTTTTGGGATGGGATCGAGTCTGTTTGGTTCTGTCCTGCTTTCATTTCTGATCGTTGTGAAGGAAATGAAGAGCTGCGGCTGGAATATGCAGTTTGACTTCTGAGTGATCCATGGAAATGATGCCATGCTAGCTGCTAGTTGTTTAGTGAAGTTGTGCCAAGAGCTTCAAGCCCAAAAGTCACGTGACTCACATCACTTCATGGTTCCTTTGGTCCAGCATTTGCTCAGAAGTGGGATTGTGCAGCGACAGTTATATATACTATTATATACTGTGACGGACATGCCACCATGCGCACATTCTTTGAGTTGGTGCTGGTAGCCTTCTTTGAGAGTCGGTTGTTGTCTTGCCACAGGTTCATCCCTTTTCGTCATGCTTTTGGAGCGTGTCTTTGTTTCTGAGCTGCTCCCAGTCAGATGAACTTACTGTAACAGTAACAGAAAGGCTCGTTGTGGGGAACAGATTGGTGGGAACGAGCTGCGCAACAAAAAGAACATGTCTTTGGGAAACACACCAAGAGTCGCCCAGCAATTCTTTCACCTGAGATGGCCCTCAATTTCACACCTCAACAAGGTTCAAGCGTGCACCCAAGCTCCCCACAACATGTGAGCAGCCGTTTCCGAAATAGGTGGTGGATGGTGCCGCAGCCGCGTCAACGCGTCGCAACATAGACGTCAGAGTCAGAAGCCTGTGGCTTGGTGGAACTTTCCTCACCAAATCATGGTGCTGGTGCAGGACACAGGTCCAACCTGCCGCCACGTGGCCCTCCAAGCTGCGGCCCTACATAAGCACCCGACGGCACACCGCCCGCTTCAGGTCCGACTGCCACCCGCCCATCCCAGGCCGCGTGCTTGGCAGGCCGACGCGCAGGACGAGGGTTACGGCCCCCCCCGTGGAGGAAGCACAACCGGTTTCAGAACAAAGCACCATGCAATCCTGGATGTGCGTTGAGAGGTTTTCTTCCATTCGACTCATGTTCAAGCGTTGTACTGTATTGCCTGGATTTGCGTCGACGGTGATTTTCCATGGGCAAACCTGTATTCTGTATTGCCTGTATTCTGGATTCGACGATGATTTTCTGTATTGCCTGTATTTCCAGCCTTGTTCCTGGCGACCTCGATTACGTGCATGTGTTTGATCGACGTCGCGGCAAGGCCCGTTGCGGCAAGGCGCGTGGCACGTGGCGGACCGTCGCGAAGTGATCTGCCCATGGCCCTCGAGGAGGTGAGTCGTTTCCCTGATGCATGCAGGCGACTTTCGAATTGAGCTTAGTGGAATTGAACGCCCCATATATATGGAGGTTTTGGCTTTTAATGGTGTGTGACATTGTTTTCAGCGTTTTGTGAGCCCGTCAGTGTGTCGAAAAGTGTGGTTTGCAGGGTGTTGTTTTGTATATTATGTACAGGACAGGTGTTGAATGTCGCTGCGTGCTTTTGAGATTTTCCTTTTGAGGTATCGCTGCGTGCTTCGAAATTGTGTTTGTGCGACAAGTGATTTTGGTGGATGGCGACAGAAAGTAATCAATGTCGACATCATTCCAAAGGAGTGGTGCGTCACAACATTTGCTTTTGGGTGAACGCGAAGCTTTTGGGTCAGTGCTCGTGGGGCGCGCAGTGAATTGTGTGTGAGGTTGCAGCGTTTGGTGAAGGTGGTTGTCGCGTGTGCCAAATGGAGTTGCATTTCAGGTTTTGGCAGTGCTCCCTCGTGGGGCGGCTCTTGCAAGGTACTTTGGTGTCGCTCGACGTGTACACTCTTGTGCGATCTTCTACCAGTTGGACACTTGCATCACATGTTGACACACTTGCGCGTGACTCTTCTAGCACTCTTGTAGGACACTGCGCTTCTGTCCAGCACTCTGGACACTCTTCACGAGTACCTGCGTGCAGGACCCAACGCATCGTCCCAGGCGCCGAACTGGAGGGCCGCTGCCATGGCCCTTCGGAGCGCCGTTGGCGCGGGGGCGAACTGGCGGCTTTGGGTCTTCGGATTGGCCACAGAGACACGCGACGCGAGAGGCAGAGACGCGCTCCAACCGCCCAAAGAGTGGACAGCAAAGCGAAGGCACGACGCAACGCCAGACCAGGATGGGTTTCCCCAAGCAGTGTGGTCACACTACTGTTTGATCGGGGTGCTGGCCGCATCCGTCGGCAGGCAATCACCTCGAGATGGTTTGAGGTGCATTTCGTGCGCACAAACTCGCAAAATCTCTTCCGAACCAAAGCATTCCTCAACTGCACTGTCGTTGTGGTCCCATACACACTTTTGGCCTTGGTGGTCGCTTTTCGTGGCAGGCGCAAGGGTCACTCGTGTTTTGAGGGCCACTTGCCGTGGCAGGCGCAGGAAATCGGACATCTGCGCGTCGATGTGCGTAACTCGGGTCATGCACAGCAGTTTGGACATGGCCGTGACCTTTGTGTGTTTTCATCTCAGGCATTGGGGGAAACCTTGGGTGACATTTTTTGGCATCTTGATTTTTTGAACGCGTGTATGACCAAAAACACAAATTCGTGGAAGTTCCATTGCCTCCCCCCACCTCATCGCAGCACATGGGACAGGCATGTGCTACGACGGAGCCCTGGCACGTGCAGCTGCCCGCGCCCTCCAAGCACAGCAGCCCTGCTCTGCCAAGACCCACGCTGCCAGTTCAACGGTGCCTTGCCCCATTGCCGCAACGTCAAACCAAGCGACGAACAATCAGGATTTTCTTTGGGCCATGCAGCTTTTAAGCCGCAAACTCATCAGACAATGGGTGCTGTTGTGGGTGTGTTTCTGGCGACATTTTTGCCGCCATGGATCACATCCGGAGCTGGAATCCTGGAAGAGGCAAGCGGTGTGACTCACAGGAACCGGGTTGGACCCGAAGGCGTCCGAGGGAGATTGAGCCGATCTGGTTTCGGTCGCGCTCACGCGCTGAGTGCTTATGAGAGTCGAAGCACCGAAACCGAAATTCAAGTGCTCGCCAACATTGAGAACGTTTTCTGCAGCTTCGGACAAAAGCCTCCGTGGTTTTTAGAGAAACTGGTTGTTGCCACGCCAATGGGTTGCAGGCAGAGGGTTGCTTTTGTTTGCGGACAAAAGGTTCTTGGCACCGCACGAGCTCGATCGATCGCGCGTTTTGTTTTTTCGCTGTGCGCAACGGAAGCTTGACAGGTGACGCAACATCTTGACAAGTCACTCCCGCGACGCTGGGGCAGAATTGAGATCCCACAGGGCAGTTGCAAACATAGCCCCAGGGAGGAGCAGGAACGACAGCCATTAGTGCCGCGGAATCTGCGCGTCAAAGTTCGCAAAATGACTTGCCGGCAAGTCGCAGAATATTTCCTTCTTGCCACGAAATTTGAACATCAAATGGAATGCAAAAGAAATTGACCTGCTGGTCAGTGCCCTGATCGCCGGCCGCCCAATCAAGACTTTTGTAAAACGTAAAAAACCTTTCCCTTGCACTCGCCGTTCGCAGAATGGGCGCCTGCATATACTATGGGGATCTATGGGGCTTGGCCAGGATCTAGCGCGGAATTGCCGCCAGATAGGGCACAGAACCCGATAGTTGTACGACCTCACAACCTTTTCATGCCTCCTTCCTTTGCACACCTTTGGAAACCTTGTTCGCAATACCCCCCTCCATACCGTTTCCATATCCATTTCATTGCCTTCCTCATACCCATTTCATAGATGGGTCTCTTGTTTTCTTTCCCTCACAGCGTCCGGTGTCAAATTCTGCAAAATTTTTGCTGCCACGTGCGTTTTTCGTTTTGAGCGGTGGCGAAATGATGTGTTGCAGCAGTCACGGATGAAACTGACCTCCCTGGCAGAAGGTTGCTGCGCCCATTTGCTACGTCCACGCGCCACGCATCGAACGTCGCATGGTTGAACAACTGGTCCCACTGTGAGTTTAATTTAAGGGTTGGGAGGCCGCACGAACATTTTTTGTGGATGAGAATGGGCACCCCAGCCGAGGGTTTTGGATGGTTTATGGGATGTCTTGGTGTTGACGCTGTTGTCATAGGGCAGCTTTGGTGTTGTTCCAAACCGGAAAACGCCGATTGGTGCTATAGCTATCGTGAGCAAAAACGATAGCGCTCGCTTTTGGCTTCGCACAGTGTAATCCATGCAGACGGTGCAAATCCTTTGTTGGCGGCACGCACGGCGCTCAGCCGGTTCCGCCGTACTGGCCCCTAGGGCCCCAGGACAAGAAACCACAATCTTGCTTTCTGCTCCCCCCCTGCCGCTTTGCAAGTTCCGGCTTTTTCCGGGCCCTCTCCACCTCAGCCATCCTCTCCTGAGCCTCGCTCTTTGCTTTAAAAGCCTCAGGCCACAACGCCCATCCTTTTCCTTTTGGTATATCGAGTGTGAACCTTTCCGAATTCAGTCACAAACTTAACATGAGTTTAAAAGGCGGTGGCCTCGCAATTTCGAGTCAGTTCTTGTGCGACCTTGGCGCCAGCGGACGTCAAATCTCGCATTGGGCTGCATGCGTTGTTTTTTGGAGGAACTAGATCGAACGGTGGTTCCTGAACATTTGCGCACTTCATCAAAGTGGAAAAGGGTCCAATGCAGAGATAAGTGCGGACCTTCGGGAAATTTGGTTTCCCGAACTGGTGACCTGAAGGTGGATGGTGTCGCATTGGTTGTTTTTCAGGCAGTGGGCAGAGAGAGCACCGACTATGTTGAGGAGAGTTTGAAGAAGGACGCCCATTATGCCAAAACGCAGACAGCAATGGTGGAGGATGCGGTTCTCCTACACGCGTGGAGCCAACTTCCTAGTCTCGAAGTGGCAGAATACCATACAACGTTTTGTTTTTCATTACGCAGCTTATGGTCATTCATGGTCAAGAAGTCAGCAAGCCCGCTTCAAACATTCACCTGAAAACATGCCTGGAAAAATTGGAAAAAGAGGTCAGCGGCGCCGCGCCTAGTTTCCAAACGCTTGGGCCACTCCAGTGCGGTCATGTACATCTGTACTGTCATGGTAAAGTTCTTTGAAATCAAGCTGTTCTAAGCTCGGTTTCGCCTTCGGTGCTCTATGTACAGCCTCGCGTACTCGTCGAAGTTGTCGTCCGAGTCTTCCATAATCACGATCTTCCAAAACAAGCCGTAATCGTGACACTCATCGGCATTCCACGTGACAATGTGGTCGAATGTGCCATGCGAGGGTAGGTTCTGCTGTAGCAGGATGCCAACCTTATTCGAATGAATTCCTTCAGCTGGTTTGTGGTGAGCATCCCAGTTTTTTTTTTTGTGCCGCTTAATGTACTTGAACAAGTTCTCAAAGTCCCACCAGTCCATATCTGTCGGCGGGGGCTTGAGCACTGACCGGTTGTTGGGGCTCTTTGCTTCATCATCATGTCCTTCAGGTGGTTGTGGGTTATCCACATCCATGTAGTCTCGTCCACCATCTTGTTGAAAGTCTGAACCCTCTCTCTCTGAGGCTGTTGGTCGATAGTGCCTGTGGTAGCCACATGAAGTACTCCTCACCGCTCTCAGAATCATGTGCATTTGCCAACAGGTTCCAGTCTGTGATAATGTGACCTGGAGGTCGGTTTCTCCATGTTCGCTTCGTGGTTGACCATCATCTACACCTTCAGGTTCTGGTTCCATGTGACTATCTCCTTGTCGACCATCAACTGGTAGTTGAAGATGCTCAGGAATTCGTAGGTCTCTCTGTTCTCCCATGCCAGCTGCCATGCTAGCCCTCATGATCATCCCAATCTGCTCTCTCTTTCTCTCTCTTATATATCTTGCTGCCTCATCCTCCACGGGCCTGCCCAGCCAGGATAGCAAAGACAGGCTAGTGCGCCATTCCACACAGCAGCAAAGGCAGAGCTGTACCTGGCGCAGCATTTTCGCTTGCTTCTTCTCCGCGACTCAGGATGCCACTGCCCTTGTCTGAACGCATCTGTCGGCGCAGCCGTGGAGGGCCCCTGGAGATAGCTCGCCGGGAAGCAGGAACCCGGGTGACAACGCGCACACCACCCCACACTGTTTAGATGACCGCCGCATTGAGGTGATAGCAAACGGCTTACCCTTGTGGAATGGGGTGTCCCCCCTCCCAGTGCCGGGCAGCGAAGACAACGAGCTGGGCGGTACGCAGGGGCAGCACTGCACGAAGCAAGGCAAGCAAAGGAGCGGGTTCTTCCATAATTGCAAGGCACAGGCCGTCGGCCTGGGAATTGAACTTGGGGGAGGTGGAGTACAGAAGCCGCCCTGTTCCTCCGGTCCGCGGCCTGCACAAAAGCCCACGCCTCACTGCACGATGGACGGCTTCTTTCACCCATGCCAGCTACGCATGCCGTGCCGCATCCCTGCTATCAATGCTGTGTGAAGGAGCCATCACTGGGAGCCATAAACAACGCCGCCCGACCCCACCCACGCAAATCCACAGGCCGCGTTGCCTTCGAATTTCCATCATTTTGCAGCCGTCCAGAACGTGGGATAGCTACGGCTCCTGGAGCACCATGATTCGCTCCCCAACAGCTGGGAAACGGATGGGGGCATAAAGACTAAAACGCAAGCGCAAAAAGAAGCTTTGCTGACCGTGCCTGCCTCGAAGACACGCTCCCGCCCTTTGAAGCACTATTGGCCCAATATCCGGAGCCAGTCACTGCCGCCAGCCGTCTGCTAGGGCCATAGCCACTTGATTTCTCCACCTGGTTTTTCCCTTCTACTTCTGGATTTTCCCTTCTGGGGACCTGTGTCTTGGATTTTGAGCCGGTGGACTTGGGCAAACGCGAGAGATTTGCAAGGAAAAAAGGAACGGGAAAAGAAAAACCTTCATCACCTTTTCTTGCCTCAAGATGCGGTTGGGGGTCCTGAACCAAATTGAAATCTTAGATCCTGTACTTGTAGCCCTCAAACACCGAAAGCGAACACGAGGATTGTGTAGAGGCCATAGTATAGTCATACTCAGGCGCCTTCACACCCACGTTTTCGTAGAACTTTCCTCCTCCAAATCTATGTTGAAGTAGCAACAAGGTCACTGCCCTGACCATGTCGGCCGGAATCTTCGGCTTGTTGCTTTCGAAGATCACTTGGATCATTTGTTTCTTCACCTCCTTCATCTGTTTTGCGGCAAGCTTCTTTCGTTCAAGCTCCTGGCTGAAGGTCTCGTCACCAACTCCTTGGAAACATTTAGATCTTTTCTCTTATGCGTTCACCTCCCTGATGCCAATGAGGTATATCAAGAACTCTCGCTTCTGCCTGCTCAAGCGCTTCGTCCCAACATCTGAGACGTTCAGCAGTGTGGGAACCCTCTCCATGACGAGGGTTTTTTTCTTCCAGCTCTTCTAACAAGCCTGCATGTCGTCGAAGTTCTCGAACTGCGTCCGTCACTTCTCCACCAAGTTCTCCTGCCACACGTAGAACTTGTTCAGATCCACTGCCTTCAGGTTCTTCAGCAGGTTGGTCTGCTGCAGATTCTTCTTCTTCTTCTTCTGAACTCTCTTCACTCAAGCTTCCAAGTCCACCATGGCGTTCAAGACGTCCATCCACGTCCAAGAAGTACTCTTCGCCAGGTAGAGCTTGTGCTCGATCTCGAAGAACTCTGTAGGTCGCCATCTCTTGACCAATGGGGTCCCAATCTTCAACTGTTGCGATGACATCATCATCGTCCACATCCATGGCGTCCTCTGTGAACTCGTCTTCCGTTGGTTCCCCGCCAGAAGTGTAGGCTGTCTCCGTGAGGTTCTCGAATTGTGGTCCTTATTCTTGCTCTTGTTCTTCTTCTTCTTCTCCTTCAAGTCGTAGGTGGTTGACATCTCCACCTTCAGGTTCATCCCATAGTTCTCCATCTCGATCACTTCCGCGAGCTTCCGGATCATGTCCGGCTGGTTCTCCAAACAAGTTGAATCTTGTGTGCTTGACCTTTCTTTGTTCTCCTTCTCGGTGAGGATCGTGAGGGGGTGAAGTTTCTCGTTGAAATTCTCCTCCACCTTCAACAGGTCGTAGGTTGAAGTAGTCCCTGAGGTAGAACAGGATGAAGACCACCACATTGAATGCCACCATCATCATGCCCGTCTGCAAGATCTGGTAGCCCATCTCGGTCAGGAGAGACCATGCTCCAATCGAAGCCGAATGAAGCACCATCAGCGCTAAGTCGCAACCTTGCACACTCATAGCCAATCCCATGGCTACAAACAAAACTGCATTTGCCGTGAAAACCATCAGGAAAATTTCACGGTTGCTGTCACTACTGGTCGTCTCTTCGACTTCCATTCCGTTGCCCTGCTGACTCAAAGCCGCCAAAAGCAAACATATCAGCTGTTGTACTCTTTCAGGTCTAAGTCCTTTGACATGTCGAATCTCTTCTTCTTGGGCTCCAACTCGTGGTCCACCAGCGAACTCCAAGTAGCCAATGAGACCTAGCAAAAATCTCAGTCTCTTGCTGCTGTGACTCTTCGTTCCCAAATCGCTGCTGTTCCCTTTTCCCGGCACAGGTCGAATTGCAGCTTCTCGTTCTTCAACTTTCTGCTGCACCCACAAAAGTCCAGTGCTTATGTGTCGGGTTCTCTGAACTCCTTGTCGTTGGAGTAGCGCTCGAGCAGAGGAACTGTCAATCCTCAATTCCAAGACCACCTTCATGTTCAGCACGGCCTCCAACATTCGCTTGATGTAGATCCCATCTGCCATGCCGCTGACTGCTGAAATGAACTCAGCTTCGCAACTCGACAAAGCTATACTTTTCTGGCTCCTGCTTGCACTCCAAAAGAAGACACAGATCTCCTAAAAGTCCTGTCCGATGCCCAGTCACTGTCCGTGAACACTTCGAGTAGGCTCGGATGTTGTGTTGCAGCCATCTTCACATCATCATTCCTTTCTCCCATAGCCGAAGCCATTGCAAAGCTCTGCTTCATCTCCTGGACGTAGTCAGCCGTGTGCTTCAGGTAGAGCACCAACTGCTTCAACTCCTTCTGGTCCAGGGTGTCAGGTCCTGTGACCTTTGAAGCCAATTGCCGAACTGCACACTGGATATCTGGCCTTTCTGTTGACATGTACAGCAAAATGCCAACACATGTTCTGTAGAGGCTCGACTCCTCTTTTGAAAGAGGTTGACCTTGTTGTCCTTTCTGGAAGGTGCCAGTTGTAGGCGTCAGTTTGCCCTTGTTCATGTGCAGGTTCAACAAGTCAACCAACTTCTTCACATATTTCTGGCCCATCCTCACAGTCATTGAACCAGATCCATCAGAAGCAAAATGCCTCTTGAGGAATGCGCATTGCCCTGCAACCTTAGGTGAACAGGGTCCTTGCACTTGCAGTGTCCACTCCTGCTTTCTGAAGCTATCAAGGAGCTTCTCAACATCTTGTTGACTTCAAACCAGGTCATCAACGTGTGAAGACATCACCAAGGGTGTCCTGCCAACCTTGTAGAAAAGCGCGGGGTTTGCAGGGTATGGTTGTAGCCCTTGGTCTCGGAACTCATATTTTTCTAGGATTTTTTTCGTTTTTTTTTGATTTTTTTTTCTCACGTTTAGGCATTAGGTATCTCTGTTGGCTTCTGGTGGCTTCTGGTAGCTTTTGCTAGCTTCTGTTGGCTTTTGCTGGCTTCCGGTGGCTTTTACTGGCTTTTGGTGGCTTTTGTTGGCTTCTGTTGGATTTTGGTGGCTTCTGGTGGCTTTTGGTGGCTTTTGGTGGCTTCTGGTGGCTATTTTGTTGGCTTCTGGTGGCTATTTTGTTGGCCTCTGGTGGCTTTTGGTGGCTTCTGGTAGCTTTTGCTAGCTTCTGTTGGCTTTTGCTGGCTTTTGTTGGCTTCTGGTGGCTTCTGGTAGCTTTTGCTAGCTTCTGGCGGCTTTTGCTGGCTTTTGGTGGCTTTTACTCGCTTTTGGTGGCTTTTGTTGGCTTCTGTGGGATTTTGGTGGCTTCTGGTGGCTTTTGTTGGCTTCTGGTGGCTTTTAGTGGCTTCTGGTAGCTGTTGCTCGCTTCTGTTGGTTTTTGCTGGCTTCTGTTGGCTTTTGGTGACTTGTGTTGACTTTCGAAGGCTTCTGTTGGCTTTTGTTGCTTTTTGCTTTTGTGGCTGTTCGCTATCCTTGCTTTGCTTATGTGATGCAGGAAGGAAGAAAGGAAGGAGGGAAGGAAGGAAGGAAGGGAAGGGAAGGGAAGGGAAGGGAAGGAAAGAAGGCAGCAAGAAAGGAAGGAAAGAAGGTGAGCACTTGCAGGTGGCCAGCTTGCGGAGAAACAACTATCATTTTGGAGACACGAGCCTGAGGGAAGGCGCCCACAACAGGACCAGAAAAAAAATAAAAGAAAAAACGGAAAAAATCCTTTAAAAAAAACGCGGCCCTTGGTCTCTTGCCACTTTGCCCAAGTGGTCATACCATGCCTTGGAACCAACTCGTTGTCCAGGTAGGCATCGTCCAAGTTCAAAGAACTCGCCATTGCACTCCACATAGGCCTTCTCCTCTTGGGGTACCATGAGGTAGGCGTCCTTCACATCGACTGCCCATAGACCAAGTTCTCCTTGGCTCGACTGAACCAATGCTGCCCACAATTTCACTCCAATTGCATTGCTTGTTGGGCTGAACAAATTCTCCATTTCAGGCGAAAGAAACTTGTAGTCTCTGCCAACCAGTCTTGACCGTCTCATCCAGCCAAACTTGCCAGTTTCTTCCTTAAGTCGCTATCTCCAGTCATAGGCTTTCTTGGTCGTCAGGAACCTGTAGCCCTCAAAGTTGCCATTCTTGGGAATGAGGACGCCCATTTCCTTGAGCCTTGTGATCTCTCGCTCACCTGCCTCCAAATCCAACTGCGCCAACATCTCTTCAGAGACATCTGGAGGTCCAGCTTCTTCAGATTCCTGCTCCAGGTCAACTTCATTGAACTCGCCCCAGTCCTTGAGGTCCACCAAAGGGTATTCGTCCACCTCGACGAACTCTTGCTCATCCAAAGCCACTTCTTGGATACCACCTGCGAATGAAGGTGCTGCTGCTAAGCTGCTTGCCGTTGGTGAAGACGATGGGGATGTTCTCGGAGGAACTGCAAATTCCACCTTTGCTTTCTTGACCGGCTCTGTTCGTGCACTCTTCGTGGGAGGTTCTTATCCAGGAAGTTCACCATGAGGTCGAAGTTGTCCTTGAGGATGTTGAAGTCCACCAGGTTGTTGAGGAACTTGAGGATGTAGTCCGCCTTGAGGTTCATCACGAACTCCTCCTGCATGTTGCTGGTCTGGCTCTGCATCCTTCACGGCCAAATCATCCGGAGGTTCTGTCGGAGTGTACGGGAGGTTCTCCGGCGTGTATGGAACTGCTTGTTCTCGTTCTCCATCACCAGGCTTCTTGAGCTCAGTCTCCTTCTTCTGCTTGTCCTTCAAGTCCTTGTCATCAAGGTACTCCTCGTCACGTCCTTCCAGCTCACCAAAAGGTTTTGCCAAGGCTTCTTCTGCTCGACGTCGTGCGTACTCTTCAACTGCTTTAGCTTATGAAAATTCAATAGTGCTGCTCTATTAGATACCCTGGGGAGGTGTCGGAAATGAATCCAGACATATTTCGAAAATACATATCATAAATACATAAGTTTACATAAGGTCATTGACATAACATATCATATTACAAAAAAAAGGTTTGCAAAGGACATCTTGGCTATCGGCATCGCACCCAGAGGAAATGAAGCCGCATCATACCGCACTCAAAACAAAAGGACGCACAGCTGCTCCACATGTTTTTCAACACACCAAAGCGGACTGGTCTCTGTCATTTCAAAGTGGATCCTGCACATTCAAACAAGGATTCGATATCCCCATCAATGGGGTCATCGACATTTGCACTCAGTGCATTCATCTGCGACAGCAGTGCTATCAATACACCCATGAATGCTGGGCCTGTAAAGGCATTTCCAGCTAAATCACACAACTGGTTGTGTGAGAAACCCACAAACTTCCGGTCAGCTTCGCAAAAGACAAGGCCTTGAAGGCACATATGCTCCATTCCTGTGAGCATTCTGTTCTTTGACAAAGACCAAAGCTTTGTCCCTGGAAGCAGGGTTGGAACCACATTTGCAGCAGAACATGGAGTACGACCGGCCGATTGGGACAGGTCTACAAATTCCACTAGCCTGTCGCCCTTGTTCCGCCGATCATTGGACAACTTGGTAAAAATGATGAGTTCCTTTTCCCTTTGGGTCAACGTTTGGAAAAACTCAGAAGATGCTAGTTCATCATCAACTGGGAGAGGCCAAACAACTCCCATCTTTTCTGCCATTGCCATGTGTGATGCCTGCCACTTCGTATTGACGGCGCTATCCTCTCTCGATTCTGCCTCTTGCTGTTTGTGCCCGAGAAGTTGCTCAACCTGTATGTGTTCATGAGGAAGTAAGTAAGAAAGGGCATCTGTACAGCCCAACTCAAACTGTTCCAGGACATCCGTACTGCGATTCAATGAGGCTACTGTCTTGTCTGGGTCGCTGTCTTTCTTGATGGCCATGAAAAAGTAACGGGTACGTGTTTGAGGTATCCCAAACGTAACACTTGAAACTGGAACCGCGGTCGCTGCATATCCCATGGAACGGAGGTCACCAAGAACAACTTCAAGGTTGGTCATGTAGTTCTTGTCGGAAGCCTTGGCGACTACATCGGTGTTGGCAATGTTCTCCACGTTCTCAAAGATCACAAGCTTAGGAGTGGTTTCTTTGATCAATTTTCGCACACCCACGTATGTTCTCAACGAACAGCTCTTCTCAAGCTGCTCTGAGGTTGGATTGTGCAAAAGGCTGGCTGAGGAAGATGAGTTTGGATTCATACCGGAAAAGCTCTTGCAACTAAAGCCTGCGACAAAAATGTCCAGCTCTTGTCTAGTCACCATGGAGTGACCTCGATTTGTGAATTGCAAGATCAAACATTCCAACCACTGGCAAGGAGCAAGCCCCTACTAGTTCACAGCTCGCCATTTACAAACATCTACTGTCCCACAATCCAGTCCTACCTACAAGTAAAATATCGCACAACAAATAGACTGACTAATCTGAGGCACAATCGTCACACTGCCTGTGAATCAAGCATTGCATCCTCTCACAGGTCACATCATTGAACAAATGACACCCTCCACCTCCAGCCTGATCAAAGCAATCTACGTGGACGCAGGACAGGAACTTCTGTTTGAATTTAGCCTTCTCGACCATGAAGCTGATGTTTGCAGTGAAGTCCTTTCCGATCTTCAAGTCTTCATCGAGATGGAGTGCATCTACAAAGCAGAACAGTGCGTCCTCTGCCGCACCGGTGCCTGAACAAGCAGTTCCGATCTTCAATTGTACAGGCCATGAATCAATCTGCTTCTGCAACACGTCTTTTCCAAGAATGAACTTCAGCTGATCAAGTAGGGCAGCTGCAGCCTGTTGGTGCAAACTGGTTTGTGACCACGGCATCAAGATGCATTCCGGCCAAGCTTCATCTCCACCACCGCCGCCACTAGCACCAGAATCAGCATCAGCTTCAGCAGTGTCATTGTTGGGGCAAAACTCGGTCGCCTTGGGGGAATCATGACCGTCCAATTGCTCCTGATCCATGATGTTCTCCAACATCTCGGTGAGTCCTCCATCACATGATTCATCGGCTTCATCGGTTTTTGTCTTCGTGTTGTCGCTAGCATGTGGCAAGTCTGTGTTGGGCTCTAGCCCTGGGCTTGTCTCAGCGTTCTTGTCCATGTCCAGTCGCAAGTCTGGCTGGCTGTCCTCATCCACAGTGGTGGGAGCACTAGCAGCTGGTGCTGTGAAGTCACCACTTTCAACATGTTGCTGCTGCTGGAAAGTCTGCTCACGGCTATCCCCGGTTTGATGAGCATCATAGGAAGGTGGAGTCTTTGCTTCGGCGTCTCTGTCCTGAAGAATGCCAGCAGTCTGAGTCTGACTGGAAGTTTCAGCAGCCTCACCAGCTTCATCATCATCATCATTGTCACTGTCACGACCATGATCATTCTCAATCGGAGAGTCAGAACATTGGCGGGGCCGCTTGACAACCCAACCGTCAATGGCAGCATGGCCAGGCAAGCGATGCTTAGGCCAAGACTCATCAAATTTGCGCTTTCCCTTGCCTCTGCCTTTGGAAAGCGCTTTTGGTTTAGGCTCTGCCTTTGGTTTAGGCACTGCCTTTGGTTTAGGCTTGGGCAATGCTTTGTTCTTTGCTTTGGCTTTAGGCTGCCTTGCCATGGCTTTTGCACGACCGGCCATCTTCGCAGAGCTATGCAGCGCTTAAAAAAAACACAAGTGTGAGTGTCAGTCCAGGTTTCTAATCTGATTCTGATCATTGAACGCCTCTCCAAGCAGGAAACATGCTAAAGCAGCCTTCGAGTTGATCTTGAAACGAGATGAGAGTGGGGACAAGGTCAAGGTTGCGACTGCAAAAGAAAGAAAGCTGTAGCTTGCCAACTTCCGAGCACCATGCCATTAGCTATGCTATGTCTTGCTTTCAACTTCAGTCTGAGTCTTCTTTCTTTTCCTCATTTGCAGAGCTATAGGCGGCTTTCTAGCCGTATGTTTCTACCAACTTGTCACCTGTTCAAGGCAGGCTCAAGTAGTTTGGTCTGTACTTCAACTAAACGACATAACCTGAATTCAGTGCCACTAGTTTGGCCCCTGCAATGCGCCAGCCATCCCGCACGGCTGACGCAAACATTTGAAGGAATCAATGTGATTTGATCATCTGTTAAAATTGCACAGTTGAAACGGCATGGGCAGCATCCAAGAGTGAGCAAATACACAATCTGGAGTCTCGAGTGTAGACACATACATACACTGATACTGACACTAACTAAAAAAACGCTGTGAACTGTCAACATTTCTTAGTAAGAAAGAACGCTTGCCAGTGCAATGTGATCAATAGGACAACAAGTGTCAGGCCAGGAAATGCTTGTACATCTTCCTGTTCCCCAACACACCAAAACCAAAACCAAAAGTTGGTTCCAGGCTCTCAAAATGAGTGCCATAGGTTTTACAAATCAGTTGCGCGAGCTTGCACACTGGCGGGGATACTGAGCATCTCATCCTGTGCCAGCTGCATGCAGTTGGCCAACTGACTCTTTCTTGTTTCGATAGCAGCTTTGGACTGAAGCACCTTGATGATCGTCCTGGTGGTCATGGTTTCCAACACCTCCCTGTGAAAGCTCACCACCCTTGTGTATCCCACAAAGGACTCTGTTGGAGCTCCAGTCATTTTCACTGCTTCTTGACAAAGCTGCTTTGCATCGCGGGCTTCGGTTGCGAACAATTTCAAGGCCATAGCATCTGCAATACCGCAATACGTGCGGTCTGCAGCATCAGGACCCAGGTCTGGGTTGTACACTGGGAATGAAACTCCGCGATTGAGGTTGAGGACATCGGAACATTTCGATTCAGCTTTGGCAATCGATTTCAAGCAACCTGCACGGTAGGTGCCAAAGACATTCTTGACAACTGGCTCCACCACTGTGGTATCACTATCGCTGCCCAAGAGAGCGGTCATGTTCTCCAAGAAGTTGATCAAGTACAAGGGCATGTGAATCTGGGACCAAGTTGCTTCATCCTTGAAGATGTCCTTCTCCAATTTGAGCATGCTCACAAGTTCACGTGTCAGCTTGATGAACTCAGGCGCCAACTCTGTTTCATCATCAGCGCTTGGAAGAAGAGACCAACAATGGAAGAACCGGACCATGAAAGTTGCAGCATCCACCTGACATTGTCTATCTACATCAGATGGTTTGGCTGCAGCGCAGCTGCGGCAAAATGACTCCACGATCTGGGAGAGAGCGTCCACATCAGCAGAGGTAGGCTTTCCACTGGAAGCGTCCTTGTGTTCATCAACCCAAGAAGCCATAGACTTTCGCTGCTGCTCCAGAAATGAATCAATGACGCTGTCTGCGGTTGAGTTGATTTTCGCAATCAAGCCTGCAAGGGCATCAGCCAAGCCTGCACCAAACTCATTTGCTGGCTGTTGAAGAGCTCTTAGACCAGTTACCAAATCATGGACCACCTTCTCGCCGAGGGCTGTACCATTTTGGGACATACTGTTCAAAGTTTCCTTCAAGTCCTTGAGCACATCATGGATCTGAAGCAACTTTTTCAGCTTTGGGTTTGCGATGCTCTGCAGCTTGCGGATTGTCCATGTCTCTGGCTGATCAGAACCCTTGAGGTCTGCTGTGAAGGCAACGACATAGGGAATCAGATTGGTTTTGACATGAGCGTTTGCTGTTTCCATGAGCTTCTCCTGCAAGCCATTCATCATAGTGGTAACCAGACCCAAGGAAGATCTTCTGATGTGTTTTTGCCTCAGTTTGTCTAGCTCGTTGGACAACTCAATCATTGTGTTGATGGTCGAGATGTCAAGGAGGTACACTCCAACTGGCAGAGAGTCAATCTTGTTTTGCACAACTCCATCTCATCAAGGTGAGCATTCCCTTCAGCAGCTTTTTCAGCCAAATCAATGATGCGCTTTCCTGCTGGTAGACCGACGATGGCAGCCAGTACTGGCCTAGACTCATGTGAAGCGACATTCTCCAAAGCTTTCTTCACATCAGCTGGAAGCTTTGAGTTGGCTGACAAAAGCACTTCAACTGTCGCAAAGTCTTCTGACAAATCCTTAAACGCTTCAGAGGTTTGTGCGAATGCTTGCTTTGCAAGGATTGGTGGCATTCGGGATGTAAACTCACGCACAAAGTCAAAGGCATGCACATCAAGAGATGCGGCAGAGACAATGCCACCAGATGCTTTTCCTCGGAGGAGTCGCTGAAATAGATTTGTCACAAGAAGGTGCAGGAACTCAAACTTTTGACCATTATCAATGTCCAAGTCTGAAATCATAGGCACGGTCTTCGTCTCCAGCTCATCCCATCGACCGCTAGCAAGGTCGGCAAAGGCAAGTAGTTTGATGCGCTGCTTCTCAGAAGACAAACCCAGCGAAAGTGAGCCTGACATGTTCTCAAGCAGTGAATTGAGCTTGTCACCGTCTTGGGATGAAAAAGCCTTGGCAATATCAATGACAGCTTTGATCTGAGCTCCAACTTCTTCAAACTCACCAGCAACAGATGATGGTGCGCTCCGGCGCTGCATCGTGCGCTGCTTTTGAACAAGCTGGGTATTGATTTTCCCCATGGATTTTGCCAGTTTGACATAGTACTGGAAATCATCCATCGAATCTGCTTCAATCGTGCTGTAAGATGCGAGTTCTTCCTTGATCTTGTCCAATGCCTCCCTGTCTTCCATGTCAAGTTGCGATGTTTGTTTTCGGCCACGTCTTCGGATGGTGTCATCTGCCACTTCCTCAGCAGGCTTGCTAGCAGGCTCTGGCTGGCCATCCACACCCTTGCCTTCAGAAGTCTCCATCTTGCTGCTCCTACGTTTGGGTGCAGGCGGTGCGGCTTCAACTGGCTTCTCTGGCTTCTTGGGCTTTGTGATGGTCGACGATGGATTCTTTCTTGTTGATTTTGGTTTCTCTGCTTTTGCCTTCGCCGATGCTTTGGCAGGCGATGTGGCATCTGACCTTTTGCAAAAGCCAAATTCTGATAGCCAAGAAGTGAGGTTGGTAGCTTCCTCATCATCCTCATCAGCATGCTGAGTCTCATGGCCATCTTGTGCATCAACACTGTCAGTCTTCTTCTGGGGAGCATCAGTTGACGAACTGGAAGCGATCCCAACTGGCGTGCCAAAAGCCATAGACAAAGCAGGTGCTTTTGACTGTTGTGAAATGACTTGCTTGCGGGTCTCCTCAAAGATCTCATTTGGCGCTTGACGGTTCAATGTGATGTCTCCCTCATGAATATGAGCAATCTTTTTGACCGAGTTGTAGCTGCGATTGATTCGTTTGTGTATGCCCTTCATGTTCTCATCCTCGACTTCCACACCAGGCACAGTGAAGCCGCCGAGGTTCATCTTGACAATGCGTTCAGGATCTGGATCTTGACCACCATGAAGTTGTCGATACTTCCATAGTTCCACAAAATAGGATGGTGGCGCCTGTGCAAAGCCCAGACTGACAAAATTTGTTTATATATTAAAAACAAACCAACAAGCCCCAAAGTGTTTTAAACTAAACAACAACTGCTGCAGGACATATGGCATTCACATCCATTCAGTGACAACATCACAATTACAATTACCAAGGTGCCTCCAAACCAGTCTCAGCAACATCAGCAGCGTTCACAGAAACCCGCTTGGCCAGAAGTCCCTTCTCCATCAGCCGCGAGTTCGGATTGTTCTGCTTGATGGTGACAAGCTCGGCTCGCTCTGCCAAGAATGGGTGCAAAATGGTGGGGTCTCTGCGGCTTGCTTGCTTCAAATCCGCCATGGACTTGTACTGTGTTGGCCAAGTACCCACCGACCAAACTGTCCGACAAAGCCTATCGATAGAACCTTTTGGATCTTCGGCAGTACCTTGGTCCCAAACCAAAAGGCCTTGCCAAAGCTTGAACTCAGTCGAAGATTGCTCATACGGAGACTCATCATTGGACCAGGCTCCACAGATCCAGCACCTCTTTGGAACATATGTCTCTGGAAAGCCAGGCGGAATTGCGGGGGGCTCTGCTTTAGGCCAAGCAGACTCTCCCATCGCAGCTTGCGATCCAGCTTGCGAAGTCATATGCGCCACAAGCACTAGCTATGTGACCCAAAGTTTGAACCAACAGCTAATCTTTGGAAAAAACTGCATTCCAAAATAGAACACTGTCAAGTGCATTCTGAAAAACTGACAAAGGCACACATGGTGTTGTGGTCGCTTCTGTACGCTTGTGCAATATCTTTTTCCAAGAAACAATAACAGCACCAAACATATATATATATATATGTGTTATGTATGTTTTATGTTAAAATAAAACTATTTATGTGTATGATTTATGTCAAACATATATATTTATGTAACATGATTTACGTCAACATAAAAATATTTATGTACATGATTTACGTTAATGTAAAATATGTTCTAATCACTTAAAATAATAAAGAAATACTAGCTTAACACCTCAAAATATCTAGTTACCAAATATTTTACATAATTCGTAAATACCTGCCATAAATGCTTTACATAATTAGTGTTATGTGCTCTTGTTCTGCTGCAAAAACAAAAGAACATCGGCCAGTTCCTGTTAGCATTGAGCATGAATAAGCTCCGCGCCAATGAAAATAACACACATGTGTGGATGACATAGCTACTGTGCAAGCACTGGTTTGTTCACAAAGAAAGTTCCTTCATGGGCCATGGGGATAACTTGCTTGTGTGATGGCACAGCTACTGTTCAAGCAGCGTTTTCTGCTGAGTGTTCCTTGTCTTGCACTACTTTGGTTTTGTAATGTTTATCATTTTGATGTTGTTCATCGTTATCGTCCCTATGTTGTGTTTGTGTTTGCATTGATGTGTCTTGCAGCTTGCATACATGAACGTACAGTCATGCAGCCATGCATAATTACACACAAACGCAAACCCATGCATACAGCAAAGAGTGCTGCAAACTGAAACTGCTGCACAAATCAAACAGTCAAATAAGCTGTCAAAACGTGGTTGAGTTTGTGCGTTTCACAAGAAACACTGCACAGCATAATCAAGACACAATCCAAAACACACAAGAAGCACATGCGCACATCCAGACCGCTTCGCCCCCAAAATGAAGCCCCCAGCTAACTAACCGATGAACATCATTTTAACATTTCCGCTCCAATGACAATCAAACAGATTCAAGAACGCTTGCTGCCCCTATTTGCGCGGCTGCTGTCTGTGTTAATTTATTTTACTGTTTACCGCCTGCCAAGTAGAGTGGTTTGCTGAAGCCACCTATGCTGAGTGGTATGTGTTTGGCAAGTAAGGCCAAAACGGTGTGAAAGAATGTGCATTGTTAGCCTTCTTTGTGTGTTTCCGTTAGCTTGTCCGCTGACACTGTGCTTGGCACAAGCACAGTTCCTGAAACAGAGCTGGCACCAACAGCAAAAGGAATAGTTAACATGGAGGCGAACTGTTCTAAAAAGGCGAAGACAAGTTCTCCTTTGCTCTTGGACAAGCGAATGGGAAGATTGCTACCTAAGCCTGCGGATCGCCCCATCTTACCTCCCCCTCCCCCCTTCTCCATCTTACCTCATATCATATCATTATCATATCCTGAGCCTGGCGTGTCCTGATCAACATCCATCTTACATCCTGAGCCTGCGCCTGCGCGTGTTCTCATCGGATCACCAGCGGATCACCCCATCTTACCTCATCCATCCAGCCATTCATCCACCCATCCATCCATCCACTGGGTCATCCATCCATCCATCCATTCATGCGTGACATAACGTACTTGCGCGCGTGCCTTCTACCTGCAGTGCGGGCGAATCGGGAATGATCTAGCCTAGCCTGGTGTATACTACACTTGCTGCGCGACCACAAAACTCTGCGCTGACCAAGTCGAGTGGAGATGCACCATGGAAGAGAGACGCGGTGCAACCAGCTGAAAACCAATGCCGGCGCCAGTAGTAGCAGCACAGTAGTGAGTGGGTATCTAAAAGATGATCAATGATAAATAACAACCAGTAACAGAGCAGGGAAAGCAGGAGGAAGCTGATCATGTGGGGGGGGGGGGCATGGCATGGGGCTGCGCCAAACAAATACCTGACAAGCGCCAAACCACACGCACCAGTGAGCATTGCGCGTGCCAGTAACTCAGTGGACAAGAACCCACACACCAGTCAACAGGATGTGCAAGAGAAGCCCGCACAACCACTGCTACAACGCCGCCAACCCCTCACATGGGGTTTGAGTTTTAAGTTTAAAGGCAAACACGCTCAATGAACCTCCTCCTTTAGCGTTTGTTGGTTGGTGTGCTGAGCTCGTCTTCCCATCCGCTCTAAACGCTGTGTTGCTTGCTGGCTATGCTTTCAACTACATGCAACACCACGCAGCTGCATGCGCAAACCCTCACAACTCACAAGCACATCTTGTTTTGGGACTGTCTTTGTTCAACTGCTCCAACACGACAAAATTACAAATAGTATGTATGTCACCTGTATGTCTGTCTAAGTCGAACAGTCCATAGTCCATAGTCTATAGTCTATAGTCTATAGATAGTGTAATAGTCATAGTAATAGTCAGTCTTATATAGTCTAGTCAAGTCTATAGTCACAAGTCTATCAGTCCATCAGTCCAGTCCAGTCCAGTCCAGTCTCTACAGTATCTCTAACGCAGATTGCCTTGACCTTGAGGACCTTGAGCTCTAATGATTTCAGAACGCGAGTCTATCAGTCCAGTCTCCATCTCTAACAAAAGATTACCTTAACGCGTTCGAAATGACATGAAATGACCACAAGACACAAGACACAGTTCAAAAAAAACTCAAAAGCATTCCTTTTGGCACAGGCCATCACATCAGATCATTTCATCACAATCCCTTGGAAAGCATTCATATGCTCTTCTTTGGTGGCCACCGACAATCCAAATTCCATCCACTGAAGGATTCTCTCCTGCGCGTTGAACGGAAGAGCTTTCATCCTGCGCATGGTTGAGCAGCTGCGATGTAGACTGCAGTAAATGGAGAAGGAATGCTTGGAAACATCATGGACATTGACCTCGGTCATCCTACCAACGCGCCGAGCGCCATTCCACACAACGCCTCGTGCATCCACAGTCAAGCAAACACTTGGCGCAGGCGCTGCAGCTTTGGCTGCAGAGGATGAAGCTGCGGCAGGTGTACTTTGCTCCACCTCCGTTTGACTATGCTTGCGCTTCCTATTTGAATCGTTTGCTTCTGGTTTTGGTTCTTGGGTAACGCTTGCTGCGTCAAGCCAGGCGCTCTCAATATCGGCCAGAAGTTGAGGTTGACCAACATCAACATCACTATCCGAAGTGTTGTCGTCTTCTAAAGGAATAGGAACAGCGCGCGCTTGGTAAGCTGGTTTCCCTCGACCTGTCTGTTTTGGACGTTTGGGTGGTTTCTGTGCACTCTTTGCAACATCCATCAACTCCTTCATACAATCTGAAATCTCTTTAGCAACCCCGGACTCATTCTGACTCTGATGCAACTCTGTCGCCCATGCTGACATTGGTTGCCAGCTGCCATCATCAAGCTCAACCTGAACTTTCATTGGGGTCACACAGCTGTAGTGGTGAAAGTATTGCCACTCTAGCTCGTTTGGATACTGGCTAGCCCATAGTGCAAGCTCTTCCATGTATGTGAAGTCTGGAGTGCGGAGCTCGTCAGATAAGTGAGCTTTCACCAAGCGAATGGTCGCAGTGGCAATACCTGACTGGAGTAATTACAGAATACAACATTCTCAAACACTAGAGTTTGAGCCTGAGCCCCAAACTTGCCGAAAAGAAATCAACGACAACAAAAAGTAATGGATTGAAACTGGACACATGTGGAATCTGTATGGGTTGTCTCCAATATATCAAGCCCAGCCAGAATCATTCCCAACGGTTTAAGCTTAAGCTTTGACAGAAGCCAACCACGCAAAGTGACATTGGAACTGCGGCAGACAAGAAGCACTGGACGGAAAGCGCTGCCAAATGTCACTCGTTCCTTCAACTTTGCCAAATCTGCCCGCTTCTTGCGACACAAGCGCACCAGGCTTTTCAAACAAGTCAATGCCTGTGCTGCCTCATGGTTTGCATGAAACTTGTGCATACAAACGTTCTGGCAAGGCTGGCGCGGAGACACAAACGACGGCAAAGGTTGAGATTGACAGGGTTCTGAAAATTTGCTTTTCCATTCTGCAACAGCTGCTTCGAACAATTTTGTGTCAGAGCAAAAGGTGTTCTGGACGATATCATGGCTAACCAAATAATCCTTGTCACCAAAACCCCAGTCTCCAGTTGCAGCATTAGAAACGGTGTATGGCTTGGCGACTGGCATAAACTCCCATCCAGAAGAAACTGCGCCTTCTGCAAGCGGTGCCACGATGGTATCACCAAGTTGATCCGAGTTGTTAGGCCGTGCAGCCTGATGGGTCACCAATGCCGCTGCCCGTGAACGCTCAGCCTGCTTGGCAAGACGGTTCTGAACCTTGGCCCTTGCAGAAAAAGTTCTGCGCAGCTCCGGGTTTGCCCTCCAGGTGCCAACTGACGCACTTTGAACTTCATCTCTCGACTTGCAAATGTTGGCCGCGAACTGCTGTTTCAGAAACAGTGTCCAACCATTGTGACGCTGGCTGACAGGGCGTTCGTTGTCTGAGTCTGAATCCTGCAAAACGACACTGCTTTCATTGAAGGCAATGGGCTTCAAAAGCTTTGCGCTTTTTGGATGTATTGAAACAAGTCGCTTGACATGCTTGTTGATTTCATTCTGCTTTGCTGTAATTTCAGCCAGAACATGTTTTTCGGAAGAC